GGACATTGTGCCTGGGACTGCGTCATCCCTGGGTGCCTTTTAAAAGACTTGGGGGAAAACCACCCAAGTGGTGACTGCTCTGGTCATTCCCGTATCTCCTGACCCCCAGCTTCAGCTGGACACCTCTCCTGCCGATGAAGGCTCAAGGAGCCCAGGAAGGTATGATGAGGCTCTTCTCAGCCCAGTAGAAACTATTAAAACACAAACTCAGGCCTGTGTAGCTGCTGTGCTGGCTCAGCTGCCATGGGGAGATGGAATCCCTACTGCTCAGAAGCACAACTTGGCCCGGGAGGAGCTGGTGTGAGGTCACCCACACTGTGCAGCCACCCGAGGACTACAGAGAAAGTGTTTCTAAACAGGTCCCACATTCCTCCCTGCATGTGCTCAGCCCAGGGACTCAGTGTCTCTCTGAGCTGTAGTGAACTCCTCCAGCCCTCCTGCTGATCCCCTAAACCATCTTTCCTTTCTCCACAGCTTTGTTGATGTTCTCTTCCCCTTGTGAAGCTTCTGCAGAACTGTGCTTGCTTTTCTGGCAGAAGATCTGGCCTAGGATGCTCTGCTTCCCCTTTCTCAGGTTTTCAAGCCATGTTTGTGGAAGCCAGATGATTCATAACTCCCTGGAGACCTTTTGATGTGTCTTCTTTTGGAAAGGGAAACTGATGTGCAGACATTAGTTGATGAAAAACTGATTGCTGGATTGCTGGAAAGCCCCGCTGCCGGGCCCAAGTTTCCCTTTCATTTGAATGGACTCTGAACAATTTCTTGTTTACATAAAAAATAAACAGCATCCTATTTGTTCTGCAAGAGGAGGGGGAGGAGGAAAGCTGAGGGGGCAACTCAGGTGCAGCCTTTCCCAGCAGTGATGCCAGTGAGGGGAAGAAGGAGCTGGGCAGGAGCTGGGCAGAATGAGCCCCACTCTGGGAAGTGGAGTCCCAATGGGTGACTGAGCACACCCAGCCATGCTGGAAAACACAACCACACAACCATCTTGCACTTAGGAAGGCACACCCTCTGCACTGCAAGAGCAGCAGGGCTGCCAGGGCAGGAAATGTGGCTGAGCATCACCCGGGCATCACCCAACACCTGAAACTGCCCCTCAGGAGGCAGTGGGAGGGGTTTAAGTTTTCTCTGTCTTCTTCTGTTCTACCCAGTGTACTTTGAGTCTGTTTCATTTACAGTACAAAACGTTCTAGTTTTGCTTCTTTTAAACCCTCAGCTTTCTGAGTGTAAAGCCCCTCCACATTTCCTTGGGGTGCTCACTGAAGGGTCTCCCCAGCTCCATTTTCAAGCTCTGGTTACTCAGGATGTAATCACGAGCAAAAGGCGATCCTCTTGTTCCTTCCCGGAGTCAGAGCTCACCCTGTGGCTCCAGGCACGACTGTGCCAGGTCCTACAGCCTGGAAAGACACTCTAAAACGAGGAAAATGGGAGTCTCTTCCAAAGGCTGCTTCCTACAGACGGACACTGGGGACCACCAAGTACTGTAAGTTGGTGATCCAGGACGCATCCTGCGCGGTAAGTCCTGCCCGGAGCCACGAGACACGGAGGCCGCAGGAAGGCTGTGTCCAGGAGCCCTTCCCCAGGGTTCTGTCGGCCCTGATTTACTGGGCAAGCTCGTCCACTGGCACAGGGACAGAAAAGAAACTCCCTGTGGCCGAGCAGGAAGCCCTCACCACTGTGGCCAAGCGGAGGCAGAGGTGGATGCACGTGAGCCAGAAACGGGAAGCTGACTCCACTTTGCTAAGGAGATAAAAAGAAGGATCTGATGCCAATTTTCTCTGAACACTCTGAAAAGGAAACATTTTTCTATTTTTATCCGGTGAGGTTAATCAACTGCCTCAGGGTTAAGTGAGGGTGGGCCTGGGGGTGTCAGGGAGACTCCATGCTGGAGAGGCTTCTGTGTCAGGTGGCTAACAGGGGAAATGATGCCTGGTGAGGGCTCAGCCTCCTTTTTTCAACCCTGACCCCTTTTGAGCTCCCAGAGTTTTAGCTGGCAATAGAGAGATGCTTCAGCTCAGCTTTTAAAGCAAAGTTGTGATAACAGAAAAAAATAGGACTGGAAGGAATCGCAGCCTAATTGTCAGTGATTTAAATCTGAGCAGGGTTAGTCCTGATAATTCCAAGAAGGCACTGTAGCAAGTTATGAATTTCCATGCTCCTTAGTGTTTGATTAGGATGAAACCAAAGCAATCAGAAAAATAAATGCAGTTAAAGAATGTGAGGAGAAAGACGCGTTAAGGCCCTTAGATATTGTAGTGAAAAAGTGTTTGTGATGGCTGTGTTTGGAGCTGGCAAACTGACATCACATCCCTCCTTGGAGGGTGCCTCTCACTTATTTCTATCTTTTCCTTTTTTTTTTTTTTTAAATTATTTTCTTCATGGCAGAATTCAAGGGTGAATTCTGAAGGGTGAGTTCTGAAGGCTCAAGAAATGAGTCTTCCTCCATCACCTGGGAGAGTCACTGAAGGGACATGATCTTGCAGAGTCCCCACAACCTCTGTGTTACCCAAGGGGGACGTCAGCGACAAGAGCAGACCTTGCAGTGACAGGAATGGGGCACAATCCTCCTAAAAATGGAGATTAGGCAAACACAAAGCCTGGCAGACCCACAGCCATGCAGCAGAACTGTGGCTGTGCAACAGGGAGCCAAACAGCTTCTGCTGAGCCAGCGGTGTGAAAGTGGTGCTACTTCAGCTTGGCCAGAGGCTCCCCCAGTATGATATGAAAGCTCTTATGCAACGTTTCACAGGAAAACCACAGTGCCAGGCAGGGACAGACATGTCATAAACCACAAAACAAGTCTCAAACCAGACAGGATGGAGGTGGTCGTGTCTCTGCTTCACAGGAATCACTGCGCACCTCGTGCATCGCCCTGGAGAGAAGTCAGGGCTTGGAGAAGATGATGGCAGAGGTTCAGACTGCAGGGAGCAGTGAGAGGGGACAAGGCTGGAGCCAAGGGTGACCCCAGCACAGGCAGTGTCCTCGTTAGTGAGGTGAGAGCCCACAGAGTCTGAGCACAGGGAGCAGAGCCAGAGGCTGGTCAGAGGCTCCATCGACAGCCCCAGGCAGATCAACATAAGGAAGCAGATCCAGAATCTGTTTGGGAGGGTTGGGGGAATCCACTCAGCTGTAGCAGGAGATGGGGACAGAGACAGGGCTCCAACACCAGAGGGTCCAGCCAGCCAGGAGACAAGATACCTACAGTATAGATCCAAGGTCTGTCCAAGGGACTGGAACAGAGCCAGGACTGCAGACCAGCACTTACAGCAGGCCCAAAGCAGGGACCACAGCCTCAAGCTTGACCTTAGATGTGGCTCCTGGTCCTTGGGCAGAGGGTTGGGGGGGTGTGTGTTGTGGGGGTGAATCCACTCACAGATGAGGCTGGTCAGGATGATTAAGGCCAATTAGTGCCCTCAAGGCCTGGCATTGTTCCATCTGATGGATCCTTTAGTGAGGTGAAAGCATGGAGGGGAGCCCATGTGGGATCCCAGTGACTACTCCTTCTCATAAGGTCAATCAAAATAGCTGGCTAGTGATGTGGTGGAGATGATGTGGAGTTGGAAACCAAAGACATGGGTCAGCAAGAGGTGAGAAGGGGCACATCATGACCGTGGGTCCCCCATCTCCCATGGGCTGCAGGGAAACCTCAAGGCAGGACACGTGTCTTGCACACAAGGTGCAGAATGCAACCCTTGTCCCACCTGAGCAGAACAGGCTTGGCATTAGTTACCTCCTGCACCAAATTCTGCACCTGAGGCAGCCCATGGCCCTCCAGGAGAAGCACAGGAAGGTGTGTGGAGGGACACCTTTGGAACAAGGTCTTTCCCTGCAGTCACAGAGACAGTTTGCCACTGTTTTGGATGTGAGGGCGATCTGGCTGCGACACCAGCAAAGCCAGCGAGCGTGTGGCACCCACAGCCCAGGGACTGGGCATCCAAAGGCTCCCGTGGTGCTCCGGAGCCTCAGCCCTGAATGGCCCCACGCTGGCGCCTGCTCTGCTGTCGGAAATGATTCATCGCTCCGGGGCCGCCTTCTCTGCACAGCCCCCTCCTTCCTCATCCGCTCTCCCCCACGGCAGGGAAGGGAAAAGAAAAGGGAAAAAAAGTGCTTTTGTTTTCACAGAGTTTCTTATCCTACCAATGACCTCTCTGGCCTGGTGACTCATCTGCGGGGCTGGGACGAGGGCTCCTGGAATACGCGGGAGATGCTTTGTCCCTCTTGCTCCTTTCAGCTCCCCACTCCAGTCAAACCCCAAGGCACTAAGTCTTTCATGGAGTTGCCTTTCCCACCTCTCCTCCCCAGCACCAGAGGAGCACGTAAGGGCAGCCCAAGCTCTGGCTGGGGTGGGAGAGGTCGTAGCTCAGCCCTTGCTCTCTTGCCCTGTTACAGAACAGACTTGGAGGGTAATGTTTGTTGTTTGCTGTTTGGCCATAGCTTTGACTAAACAAAGCAAAAACCCATCTGTTTGTTTTCTTTACTGCCTTAGAAGGATCGAAACTACAAATCCCTGTGAGGAAATATATTTCCTGTAAACTTTTGGCAAGACTGAAACCCTTACAGAGTGAGGAGGTGGAGCAATAGCCTGGCCACAGCTGGCTTTGCTGTCTCTTGGTGTTGCTGGAATGCCCTCCACAGTGCACAATCACAGGTGTTCATCTCTGCAGGGCCCAGGCTCGGTAACCTAGCCCAGGGCTCAATCCCTTGAGGATCAAAGTTCTTTAACATAAGGACTTTATTTACTTCTAAAAAAAACCCGTACAGCTCATATATGTCATGCACACATTCAATACAACAACAAATCGGAGCTTGTAACAGTCACTGTGCTCTACAGCAAATGATATTTTAACCCCAGGAACTGGTGGCACCCACAGGCTCTGTCCCTCTGTGCCAGCATCCACCTTGTGCCCTCCCAGGCCGCCCATGGCACAGGGAGGAACAGTGGTGTCCCCCCTGCCCCGGGTTTTAACTGCCCCCCCTGTGAGTGGTGCCAGTGCCCTCCCTGCTAACAGCCCAGGAACAGGAGAGGGGAGCAGGGCAAGGACAAGGACAGGGCCAGGCTGGAGAAGCAACTCCTCCTGAGGAGTTCCAGTGGGACTGTGGCAGCTGGAAGACGACGGGAGCCACCCGTGGAGCTGAAACCAGTGTCCTTACAAATAGCATTGTGGGACTCCAGGTGATCTGACTGGTGCACATTCATCTCCCCAGCATCACTTCGAGCCAAGGACTTCACCTGTAGCCAGACAGGTGTCCACCCCATTTGCTGAAGGGCCTGGAGAGTGATCCTGCTCCCATGGACATGCACAAGCCGTCTCAGACCAGGAAGAAAATAAACAAGGCACAGTGTTTTCCAGTGTTCCCAGCAAGGTCTCAGCTCCAAGCAGCGCAGACAGGGCATCGCATACATTCAAAAGGCTACAAAACTTTACTACAAAAATAACATTTCTAGTGTTTTATATAAAAATAATGCCACATACAATACTTCACAAATCCCGACTGTGCACAAGCGGGGTGGATGGGGACGTGGCACTGACAGCCCCTGATTCACCCTCCAGGAAAATCCTCGCCAGACAGCGTTCCACAGCTGGGCTGCACAAGGAAGGACTTCACCCCACAATGCAATTAATCTAATTGCATTCCACACTTGCAAACCCCCAGATGAATCCCTGGCTCCCCTCTCTCAAGTCAACAAAACACAGAAAGAAGGGGCTGTATGATGGCAGAAGACAAACACAGTTGTTGTCTGTCCTCTCCACCTGCAGGGCTGAATGGATGCTGTGAGGGGGTGATCTGATGGGTTTAACAGGCTGCCTTCTTCAGGCTCTGCCTCACAGCTGGCCCCTCATTTTTGCTTTGATGATCTTGTTTATTATGTGCTTTTCCTTCCTTTTTTTTCTATGTGCATATTCATACTTTGGGATCTGATCCACTGAGGTTGGTTAGAGGAGGATCTGACCCTTGATATGTATCTACTCACAAAGCATCGTATCGTGAAGACCTTTGCACGCTCCAGCAAAACTCACACTGGGGTCGAAGTCTAATAAGGGCTTTCAGGACCTGACCACAGATAAAACATAAAGCTTACATACAGCAGTGCCTGGAGGTGTAAAAATCAAAATCAACTTGGGTTTAAAAAAAGCCTGTTACTGTTAGGATGCTTTCATAGCCTGGTGATCAGTGCTATCCAGGATGGAAAAACTAAAATGCAGATGAAGTGTAGAACTATGAACAGCCATTTTGTTCTTGTTTTTTCCTCCTTTTTTTTTTTTTTTTGTTTGTTTGTTTGGTGCATCAGCAAATGTCCTTATTTCTAGAGAGACTATGGAAGCAGAAGGATGTTACATCTGCTGTGGTGGAGTAATTCCTACATGACTAAATCCAGAACTGTCTTTAGCTCCTCCAAGAGATTATTTCCTGGGTTTTTTTGCTTGCAGAGAACAGCAAAAGTGTTCCAATGTTATCACAGGAATAGCAACACTATTGGGTGACTTCTTGTTTTCTCCCATTTGCAAAGAATCATTTGCATTATCCTGCCCCGGTGTTGGATGCAGCTGGACACGGGGCATATCAGCTGGCAGAAGGGTTTCATTGCATTGATTTCCTAAGGAGCAGGTCTCAGACCACATCTGCAAGAAGAAATGCTGTTGAGAGGAAGGGCCTGATTTCAAGGAGGAGACAGACTGTGGGTTCCCAGCTTCTGTGAACACGAAGTCTGTAGCACTGACCTTCAGCACCGTGATCAGATGCAGTTATGGTCACCTCCTTCTGAAAAGCTGGGCTATCCCTCGTGTCTGCAGCAAGAAGAAATAATTAGAGTACATTTGATCAGCCCAAGGAGAGCCAGCACCCAGCTTTGGCCTTGGTCTGACAGAGCAGAGACCTGAAGCACAGAGAAGCAGCAGAGAGTTTAAGTGCAAATCGTGTGGGTTTGGTGCTAAGATTGCTTGGGGTGGCTGAGCCCGAGTCCAACAGTGTGGGTGAGTGAGTGGCTTCTTGGCTTAGCCATGATGAATCACAGAAAAATTCCCAACAGCAATTTGGGAATCCACTTCTGCCTACCCCCTGGCAAAGAGCCACCAGCAGAGGAAGAACAGCCACAGCCGTCGTGTGTAACAGTGCCAGAAGAAAAGAAGTGTCTCAATGATTTCCAAAACACTGTCATTGGTCAATGACAAAACAGATGTATTGTTGGACATTCTGCTCTGCAAAAATACAGGTTTGCTCTGGTATTTTTATTCCCTGGCTTGCTTCCTACCGGTGGTCACCTGTTCAGCATAAACAGCTGTTCTGCAGTAACACACACATATAGTTTAGGCCAAAAATGTCCATGCCAAGAAGCACTCAGATTACTTCCATTGGATAGGCATTGTTCTGATGTCCTGCCCTCTGGTAGAGCAAGCCCTGCACCATTTCTCTCGACGATTCTTCTGGTCTCATTCCAAACTTCAGGTACAGCCACACAAGAGCAACAGTGCAAATGGTCACCGCGCTTACCACAGAAACGGGGATGACAAAGTGTGTTTGAGACAAGAAGCTGGACAGAGGCTGATCATCTGGCCTGTCTGTGATCGTCTGCACCCTGGCTTGGCCCGAGAATGCCTGGCCAGCAAAAACTAATGTATCAGAAGGCTCTTGCTTTCCTACAGGTGATGAATAATCACGTGTTCTAGTACCAGACCCATCTGTAGAGGAACCAACAACCTTGTTGCTATGGACAGAAGCCCCTTTGTCTGTGGCAATGGTGGAGTTCAGAGTAGAAACTGAACTAGTGTCTGGTGGAATTGGTGTGTCTGGGGGTGTTGCAATGTCCACACTGTCCAGGGTGGAGGGGAGATCTGATCTAGAACTGCTGGAAGCAGTGTCTGGTGCATTGGCCCTGGCAGTTGTAGAGTCCAGAGATTCACTTGTAGAAAGCAGAGGTTTGTCTGATCCTTTAGTAGTTGCCATTGGGTCCGAATCTGAGTCAGGAGAAGTTGTGTCTTGAACATCAGCCGCAGCATTTGCAGTATGTCCTGCACATTCTTCTGTAGATCTCATGGTGTTGTAAAAGCCATGCACACGAGCTGTGGGATGTGGGGTGGGCTGGCTGGAGCCCATGCCTGCTGTGAGAGCTGTTGAAGATGCAGGAGAATTTGAGGAGTCTCTGTTTGCTTCTGGAGCGACCTCAGAGCGCGCAGCATATTCCTGTGTCACGGAGGGTGACCCTGCAGGGAGCTGGGTGCTGTCCTGCCTGGCTGGAGGGGACTTGCTGGACACCTCTGTCCTCGCAGTAGGAGCATGTATTCTCTCCCAGGCTGTTGTGGTGGTCCCTTGGAAGAAACCAGTTGGAGCAATGGCTTGAGATGGAGCCCTTACTGGAAGACCAACCTGTTTCTGAACATCACCGGCCTCTTCTGGTGAGGTGGCATCATGCCCAAGTGGGGAGGCTGTGGCCTTTTTCTGGTCCAGTTTCTTTACAATCTTCTTCACCCACTCAGCCTCTGGATCTGCACAAAACTCCTTAGACTTCAGAGTAGTTAATCTGAGAAATAAAAAGGCATCACTTAGTGGATACAGAAGACACTGGTTTAGGTGACCAGCGCCATGGGGAAGGCATGCAGACAGATGCAGACAGCAACACTGGCCCTCCCAAGCCCATAGCAAACACCACTGGTTGGCTGGATGATTTATTCCAGGAAGGGCAGGTGCCTCTGAAATCTGATTGAATGAAGAGCAGCTTCATGAGTCACATGAATGTGACTCATGGGTGAAGGGTTTTCCCCTAGGAAGCTTTTTCTCTTTCAAAAGCATTGTCCTGATGCTCGGACATGGTGTTTTCCTCCTGCACTCGGGACAAGAAGCTCTGCAGCACCATCTGCTCAGGGGCAAGCAAGCATGAAGGCAAACCCTCTGAGTTTTGGCTGACTGGGTGATGTGAGACTTTCCAAGGTCAGCCCAGTAGGTTCACTTTGGAGCCACCCCCTGGGCTGCAATAAAGTGGTGTCAATGGTGCCTCAACTTCAGGGTAAAATGAAAACAACAATTTATCCCAGGGAAAAAAATCGAACTTTTCTCAATTCTAGACAAGTCTGAATCTGTCTCCAGAGAAAATATCTGCTTTCACAGAAACACATGGGCTCTCTCCCTGCGTGCTTCCTCCACCCTGTTCTGCCAAGTACCTCCCTCAGTCCCTTTCCCCATCCGTTCAGCCCAACTTGGAAGCTGTTGGTCTTTAAACAGGGGGAAAAATAAAACACCACCCTTCAAATAAACACACCAGTGTTTGCTCTGTGTTCCAGGCTGTCCCTTGCTCCAAACCCAGGGCCCTTGCTGACAGGGTGACTCGTGGCCAGTGGTGGGGCAGCACTTACATGATGGCTTGTTTTGTGCATCCGGGCTCGGTCCGGCGGTAGCTCCTTATCCTCTTCTCTGCTATCACAGATGTAAAACCAGAGCATTCATTTGAACACTTCAGAGGCGCTTTGGGTTGCCCTGGAATAAAGTTTTCAACTTGTTAAACACTGGCTTTTTGTTAGGGAACTATAAAAACTGGCGCTGTTTCTTTTCTCTCAGGTGAAGGAGCCCAAAGCTTGGCATGGAAGTTTCCAATCCCTGCTAAACTGAGATGAAGGCAAATCCCAGTGAAGACAAATCCAAGATGGTTTTTAACACCCATACATGTGAAGAGATACCCAGAAAACTGAGGGGTGGGGGGAAAAAAAGCACTGTGAAAATTGTGGGGCTTTTTTGTCTTGTAGGATGTGCAAGCGCTGGCTGCAGGTCCTTTGTGCAAGCCCCCGGACCTGCAGGGCCTCTCCTTTTTGGGTCACAGGAGGACCCAGCACAGTGCCACATTTTGTCACCCCCAAAAGACCTACTGCAACATTCGCCAGAGAGTTCTTGGTGCAGGACAGGCAGACCAGAAAGCAGGACGGTTGTCCTCTCCCTATCTGGGTCTTATCTTTTCCTCCTGCAGGAGTTCCCCTCCAGGTGATCATCCTACCCTGCCTCTCTGCTGGCACATGGTCTCTGAATGCCACCTGGGCTCAGAGAAAGGGAGCAGAGGAAGAACCTTTTGGTGGATGATAAATCACTCCCACAGGTACCTCAGCAGCCCAGCTTCCCAAACACGACTTTTCAATCCCCGCTGGAAAATACGGTTTTCGTTTTGCAAAGTGCAAAAATAAAACTCCAGGAGGCAGAGCCAGTCACACCACGGGGGACCCTTCATGCCTGCATCTACCTCCAGCCTCCCACAACAGGCACTTGCCAAGTGAAGGAAGGTTGCACAGTGCATCCTGTCAACTTGTTCCTGACAACCCAAGGGGCAGGATTTAGAAAAACAAGCCCTGACTTATCTGAGGCCCCTGTGAAGAAAGGAGCTGGCATCTGGTTTCAATGAGGCTGTCTCTCCAAAACGTTGCCTCAGATTTCCAAAGGAGTTTGGTGAATTTTATGCAGTTCAGTTGGGAACGATCCAGACACTGGGTGCAAGAATGAGCAACACCATGGGAGCACCCTCAGCTCTTTTGATCCATTTACTGGGGAATGCCATGGTTGCAAAGAAATCCCAGGCAAACACTCCAGTGGCTCCTGTACAAAAGCCTAGTTTGGTTTCTAGGTGTCTGTAAAGTTAAAGCAAAACTCTTTGTTCACACACTAAATGTTTTCTGTGGCACTCTCATGGCAACCAACTTCCCAATTAACTCTCATTAGCCACAGGACATTCTGCTGGCGTCCTCCACTTTCAGGAACACAGTTCAACAAAACAAGCCCAGTGACAACAGGACCAGACCATCCCTGTGGGCCACTGGGGATGTGCATGGTGGGGAGCAGTCCCTGACTGCTCCCAAAGGCCCTGCTCCTCTGACAACCCCAAACTGGTTTTCCAGTTATTGGCACCAATGCAAATGGTCTGCAACTAGCTGAACTCCTGGTGGGTTTTTCCCAGAGTGGAGGACCTTGGAAAGCACCTTCCAAGGACAGAGGGTGCCACAGGGAGCACTGGTGGTCCCCCTACTTCTGGGGAACACAACCCCGCTTCTCTGAGCTGCATATGAATCGTTGCCAAAGGGATCTGAGAGTTTACCCACCCAGGACCATGACTCTTGGGAGCCATTGGTACCTGCTTTTCAGCACAGTTCCTCAAAAGACCCCAGCCAGGGAACACCAGCAGCCCTTCTGCAGAGCCAGCCTGATTTCCTCACTGCAGGAAAGATGGATAGCGGTGCCCCTGGTGCCCCCTTTTCTCCAGCCAGCCCTGGAGAACCTGCCCAGAGGTGTGAGGAGAGGGAGAAGCTCCATCCCCAGCCGCCCGTCCTGTCCTCGCTCCTCCCGTCTCGTGGCAGCAGGGCACGGATCTTAAGGGCTCTTTGCCCGTCTCCCTTTCCACGGTGGGAATAGGTCACGCCTTGGTCCTGGGCAAAGTCCAGCCTTGCCTGCAGTGCTGAGAGCCCAGCACCCACCCTGCTGACCTGTGCCATGGGTGACTGACAAGGAGCCCAGCCCCGGCAGAGGGGAGCCCACCACCTCCCAGTCCTCTGACCCCGGAGCACGCAAAGATCTTTATCCAGGGAACAGGATAACGTTTCCCACCTGTACACACACACACACACACACCTACACACACACACACCTACACACACACACACCTACACACACACACACCTACACACACACACA